TGAATCTATTATGAAAAGAAAAAGGAGAATATGGATATGATAAAATAAAAAGGTCAATTACTGAATCTACTTTTAAAAAGGAACTACTTGTTTTAAATAGGATAAGTAATGAAATTTTTTGTCTGAGTTTATCAAATGTTACTGGACTGGACATTGTTAATATATATAATGGAGTTTTTTTTTTGTCTGAATCTATCAAATGTTAATGGACTAGACATTGTTAATGTAATTCTTGATTGTATATATTGTATATACTTATTGGATATAGTTTTTCTTGTATTAGTTATAAGCTTTTTTTAAATTTTAGACAAAAAATGGGAAATGTGGTGATATTGTGTTCCCCAAAATATTGTGTACCCTAATAAACTTATCTGGGGTCAGAGAACAGAACAGCTACTAGATATAGAGGCCAGAAAATGGTGGCACTCATACCTTTAATTCTATCACTTGGAGGGCAGAGATCCATCCAGATTTCTGTGAGTTTAAAGCCACACTGGAAACAGCCAGGCATGGTGACACATGTCTCTAATCCCAGGAAGTGATGGCAGGAAGCAGAAAGGTATATAAGGCATGAGGGAGGACCAGGAACTAGTGCTGGTTAAGCATTTAGTCTTTGAGCAGCACAGTTCAGCTGAGAGGCATCCAATCTGAGGAAACAGGATCAGCTGAGGAATTGGCAAGGTGAGGTAGCAGTGGCTTGTTCTGTCTCTCTGATCATTCAGCATTGACCCCAATACCTGGCCCAAGGTTTGATTTTATTAATAAGACCTAAGATTTGTGCTACACCAACTGGACATCTCTTGTCACCAAACAAAGCTTCCAGTATTGGGAATAGGTTACATCTAATTGAGTTGTTGGCCAGATGGATCCTGTGGGAACTCCCAAACTATTATCACCAAAACTATTGGCTGATGTCGACAGACTGATGGTCAGGCCTTATTGCTGAAGATACCACTTGCACAATTCATTGAACATGGAGAAGTCGAGCTGGTGCCTGCCTAGATCCTTCACCCCTACAGACTAGTACCCGCAGCACTGGAAGGTACTCTGCACACTGTTGAAGGAGGTAGGCAAACCTCAACCCAACTACAGAACCTTTAGTCTACAATGGTGGCTTGACTACAAGATGTGCTGGTGCAGTAGAGGCACACAGCCTGTGGGAGTCACCAGCCAAGATCTGACTGGATTTAAAACCCAGCCCATGAGATGGAATCCATCCTGACACGCCTGGGTGGCCAAGAACCTAAGATTAGATAGGCCAGGAACCTACAGGAAAACCAAATACTACTGTTCTGTTAAAATGACTCCTAATGACATTCTGCTACCCTCATAGATCAGTGCTTGATCAGCCATCATCAGAGAAGTTTCCTCCTGCAGCAGACAGGAACAAAACTAGAGACTCACAGCCAGACAGTGTGGAAAGAGTGAAAGAGCTTGGAACACTCAGCCTGAAATGGTGTCTCCATAAGGCCCTCCCTCCCCTCAGGGACCAGGGAACTCTGCAGCAGAGGAGGTGGAGAGTGTAAGAGTCAGAGGGATGGCAGATACCAAGGAAACAAAGCCTGCTAGACACAGAAAGTCTGACGCATATGGACTCAGAGACTGAGCAGCATGCCCAGGGCCTACAGGGGTCTGTACCAGATGGGCTCTAGAGCTGATCGGAGAAGTGGACACTCACCCTGATCCTTCTGTTAATCAGAAGCTAACACCAACTGACAGCCACTTGCAAGTAAACACTTAGTTTTCTCCAAGGTAGTCTTCCTGGGGAAACAAACTGCTCTCAAGGGCAGGCCCCGTGCCCAGCAGAGGGTGGGCAACACAAAATGAACTCGGGGCATCTTTGCAGGTCCTTTGTTTCACAATGTGTCAGGGCTTTTATATTTTATTTTTTACTTTATAAGTCCTTTGGTATATATTATGACTTCCTTTTTGTGCTGTGTGATCCCTGTGTGTGTGAATATGTGTCTCGGTGTCTCTTGTTTCTTTGGCTTTTTCTCTTCTGTTTATTTTGTCCTATTCTGACTTGTTTTTGCTTTATATTATTTTATTATTATTTCTTAGATACTTGTTTGTTTTCTAACAGGAGACAGAAAGGATGTGGATCTGGATGGAAGGGGAGGTGGGGAGGATCTTGGAGGAGTTGATAGAGGGAAACCGTAATCAAAATATACTTTATGAAAAAAAAATCTAATTTCAATAAAAGAAAAAGGAAATCAACTTAAAAAGACTAGTGTTTTCCATAAAATGTAACCAATACAGCAACACAGGTGAGCCCTTGCTCACTCTCATAATCAGTAAATATGCTCGAGTTTTTCCATCTCTCCTCCAATGTAGCACAGGCCTTCTGTCTGCATTAGCCATGCATCCAGGAGCTGTTGCTGTGGCCTCCATTGCAATTCTTCATCTCCCCACCTGGGACCAGGACCCCCCACAAACCAAACAGAATGCCTTCCATCTGTATCTGACTGGATCACAGCAACATTCAAAATGGTCTCCAAATCACTCCTTCCTGAGGACTGCGGCTACCCCGGCTTCCATCTAACGACAGTCGCCCTCTGTTGTGGGACAGTGGCCCTTCTCAGTGACCCCGCACAATCTTCTCTAATTTGGCCCCGTATTGTTCATCAAGGCTCTATTATCCTTGAATATGGCAGTGTATGTACACCTGTAATCCCAGCACTCAGGAGGCTGAGACAGACCTCACAAGTTCTAGGCTAGCCTGGGCTACATAATAAGATCCTACAAGAAAAAAATGAAAATAATAGCAATAATAGATGATAATAATATATTCCATATCCTCAGTACTTTCAGCCTGGCTGCCAGTCCTTGGGAAATCTCACCCACACACTTGCTTTTCTGTCTGATGACACGAGTGTGTGTCTCCTTGGGTGGGCTGATTAAGCTGTAAGATCTTATAGACTACTGAAGCCTTCTCTGACCTGAAGCTTGATGGTGTCACACTGGGTTGTTGTTTACCCTCCTCCTCCCTTCTCTCTCATTTACTCTTATAGGTTAAACTCGAACCCGAGCTCAATATTGTCTTGTCCTTCAGTAATTCACAGTAATTTACTTTTAGATCTCCTGTCTGTCACCTCCTCCTGTCTCTGAACTATGACAACAGCGCTGGAACTTGTTCCATCCCCTCTGTTATTGTTTTTATAAACCATCATTCTTAAGATGTCTCCAGGACTGCTGTTACTGGACTGGACATTGTTAATATATATAATGGAGTTTTTTATCTGAATCTGTCAAATGTTAATGGACTAGACATCATTAATGTAATTTTTGGCTGTATATATTGTATATACTTATTGGATAGTTTTTCTTGTATTAGTTATAAGCTTTTTTAATTTTAGACAAAAAGAGAGGAAATGTGGTGGTATTGTGTTCCCCAAAATATTGTGTACTCTAATAAATTTATCTGGGGTCAGAGAACAGACAGCCACTAAATACAAAGGCTAGAAAATGGTGGCACTCATACCTTTAATCCTAGCATTCCAGAGGCAGAAATCCCTCTGGATCTCTGTGAGTTCAAGGCCACATTGGAAATAACCAAGCATGGTGACACACACCTTTAATCCAAGAAAGCCCGCCTTTAATCCCAGAGAGTGGTGGTAGAAAGCAGAAAGATATATAAGGCATGAGGACGAGAAACTAGAAGCTTTTGGCTGGTTAAGCATTTGGCCTGGTTAAGCTTCAGGCTTTTGAGCAGTAATTCAGCTGAGACCCATTCCAGATGAGGACTCAGAGGCCTCCAGTCTGAGGAGACAGGATCAGCTGAGGAACTAGTGAGATAGCTGTGGCTTGTTCTGTCTCTCTGATCTTCCAGCTTCACCACAATACTTGGCTCTCGGGTTTGATTTTATTAATAAGGACTTTTAAGATTCCTGCTACAGACTGCCTTCCTTTGAGATGAAAGGAATCCCCGTCCACACCCAGGAAAGTCTCCACAAAAAACTAAAGGTCTTGGATTTATTCCCCTCTGCCCTTTTTAATCAGGGGAAACAGTAGCATCTAGGATCAACATGCGCCCTAGGATAATTCTAGATAACATGCCTGTCAACCATCAGTCACCCCATTCCCTTTAGATTTTAACATCGTTATCGACCTCACTGCCCCCAAATCCTCATGCTGTAGCTTTCCTGAGTTCTCTGCACTGATCCTTGGTTCTTGATACTACACTGAGCTGGCTACAACACTTAGGTATCTGGTATGCAGCCTCCCAGCCCCACATACACAACAGAGGAAGTAATGTGTAAGAAAAAGTCTTGGAGGACCACACAGCAGGTTACCCTTCTACCACTCATGCACGTGACCTTCACACGTACAACAAAAGGAGAGAAATACAAGCAAGGGCCATGAAGAATCGGGAAGCGAGACTGAAGTCCCCAGCTAGCCTTCAACCATTCTCACTTGTGGTGGATCTTCCTTTACGAAAGGAGTTTCCCTGCTCTCTGTGAGTGCTTCATGCTAGGCTT